TTTTAATTTACGATAGTCATACAGAGAGAGAGAGAGAGGCAGAGACACAGGCAGAGTGAGAAGCAGGCTCCATGCACCAGGAGCCCGACGTGGGATTCGATCCCGGGTCTCCAGGATCGCGCCTTGGGTCAAAGGCAGGCGCCAAACCGCTGCGCCACCCAGGGATCCCATATTCTGCTTTTTGAAAGACACTAAAAGAGTAAAAAGACAACGACTGACTGGGACAAAATATTTGGAAACTTATTTATCTGATAAAAGACTTGAATTTAAAGTATATAGAGAACTATCAAAATTCAATATGTAAACAAACAACCCAATTTAAAAAAGCAGGGAAAAACTGAATAGACACTTCACCCAACATGAAATCAGGATGGCAAATAGTACAGGAAAAGATGCTCAACACTATTACCTATCAGGAAAACATAAAATAAAATCACAAAAAGAAACCACTGCAGATCTAACAGAATGTCTAAAATTAAAAAGACTGACTGTAGCAAGTACTTTTGAGAATGTGGAGAAACTAAACTGTCAGACACTGCTGGTGGGAATGTAAAGTAATCCAACTACTTTGGAAAAAGTCTGGAAGACTGTTTGGAAAACAGTCTGGCTGTTTCTTAAAATGTTAAACAAACACCTATTATGTGATCCAGCCATGTCACTTCTAGGTGTTTAATCAAGAGAAATGAAAGTGTAAGTCCATACAAAGATGAGTAGATGAATACCTATAGCAACTTCTTTTGTAACAACCAGAAACTGGAAATGACCATTCTGTCCCTCAACAAGTAGGTGATTAAACAAACTGTAGTCCATCTCTACAATGGAACATTAGTTGATAGGAACATGCACTGTTGACGCACGTTACAATATGGATGAATGCCAAAATAATTATCCTGAGTGAAAGAAGCCATTCTTCCCAAAGTATGAGTCCTTGTATAAGACATTCTAGAAATCTAATCTAATTTATCTATGCCGAAAGCAGATCGATGGTTGCTGGGGGTAGACATGTGGTGGGGCAAGAGTGTGAAGGCATGATTTTTTTAAAAAAGTTATTTATTTATTTATTTATTTATTTATTTATTTATTTATTTATTCATTCATTCATTCTTTCATTCATTCATGAAAGACATACAGAGAGAGGCAGAGACACAGGCAGAGGGAGAAGCAGGCTCCCTTTGGGGAGCCTGATGTGGGACTCAATCCCAGGACCTCTGGGATCACGACCTGAGCCAAAGGCAGGTGCTCAACCACTGATTCACCCAGTGCCCCAAGGCATGATTTTATAAAAGGGCATTGAGGTAACTTTTGTGGATGATGAATATGTTCATTTCATTGACTGTAGTGATGGTTTCATAGGTGTATCCATGTATTAGAACATCAAACTTTAGACTTTAAATATATGTTACTCATTTATGCCAATGCCAATTATTTCTTAGGCTGTTAAAAAACTTTTGTGTCAAATGTATGTCTAACATATATAAATATGTATTGTATCTTATAAATCATTAAAATAAGATAAATACCTATCAATAAATGAACAAAGGACCTGACAGGCAACTCATAAATGAATGCAAATGACTAGCAAACATTAGTTTTTGCATAATACTAATGCTAATGCCCTATAAATGATACTGTGAGACATTAATTTTGAGTCTTAGAAAACCCCCAAAATTGAACAGAAGACTGCAAAAGTGTGTAGGTTTATGGGGAGGCCTGAGATACTGCTGCTCTAAAATTGGAGCCCTGGGACCTAGACTCAGACCATGAAAGGAAGGTGGCATGGACCTTGCCCTCTATAGCAGTTGTCACAGTTCAGGCCTCCCAGCGGGAAGAAAAGCTGTAAAATACGGACAGAAAATTAGCACCCATCTTGTCTAGGAAAATGGAACTGGTTAGGCTGGGTCCACTCTGCTCAGTTGAGCCTCCACTGGCTATATTCCATGTCTGTGTCATACAGCAAAGAGCTGTATGTGTGAGAGCAAAAATGGATTCCCTGGTCCCAAGATTTCACTTACAGTTATGGAAAGTGAGGCCTACAGGGCCCTATGCCTGTGTTGCTCGATGTACATTCCTTATTGAAAGTTCCCACAATGGCTTGAAGTGAAATCAATGCCAGAATGTCTGTCAACTAAAATAGTCATTTCTGGAATAAAATCACATAATGGGAATCTCAACACTTGGGTCTTAACAGAGAAGAGTTAACTTTAATATATGGCTTTAAAAAAACTGCCGATCTCCCTTCTTTTCTCTTTTCCATGAAAACATGAGAATCAAGGTCCATGAGTTATTATCCCCACCTGTGCCACAGAATCTTGAAGTTCTCTGAATCTGTCAGAGCCAACAGATTCAGAAAACTAATCTCATCAATGGGAGAATACACAGGAATGTCACTATTTACTGGCCACGGCAGGATTGGCAAATGGCTTTTATCCTATATATCGACTGCCACCATGCTTGGTGGGAATGTTAGAATGAATTCCAAGGCAGCACCTGGGCTAAATGAAAAAGATAGTATGATTGATTGGAGATGTGTGGGTTGTGGAAGGGGCAATTAACAGTATTATGGCCACCTATTTCCATCCTGGTCTAGAACATCGTTAGGCTCAAAATAGGGCTTCTTCCTTAAATTGCTCCTGCTATTGATTACCCTTACAGAATACCAGATTAATTCTTTCAAATATTACTTTTACTATATCATTCTCCTACTTAAAAACCCCCTAAAGATCTGTCCCACATAGTAAATCTATTTCTCCAGTCTAATAATCAAGGTCCTCCACATTTTGACACTGTTTACCATTCTAAGCTCTCAGCAACCCTATACAGACTTGCCTCCCTGACCTATTTTTGTACCCAGAGCAGGCAACATGGTGTAAAAGGGCTACCAACAGGAGCCAGGCATGGGAACCAGTCCAAAAAGAGCAACCAGACTACCAGATCAGGATGAGTCAATAGCTGGGGAGGCTCAAGATGGAGGAGGGTATTCGAATTCTTGGGGTGAGGGTTCAAGCTCAATTGGAGTGGACAAGCTCTGGCCAAGCCTTGTTCCTTCAAATGACCTAGTTTCTAACACAGTTTAACTGCCCATCATCACTTTTAAAGCAGTGCTATTTTATAGCTATTTCTGCACAGATACCTGATATATATCCCACACATTATCAACACCAGGCTGATGGTATCTTCTATTCCCTCAATGCCTATTTCCCTTCCTTGCTGCATATGTGAATCCCACCCAACCTTTTGTGCTCAGCTCCAAAGCATTAGTTAGGCCCTGGTCTGTTTCAAATGACTGACTTCTTAGAGTCTTGATACTTGGCATCATTTCTTAACTCATCTCCACAATTCCATGTAGATCCCTCCTACTTCTACAGTGCTGGTGAAGCATCAACATTTACCACTAGAGTCCATGTTGCCCAAGCAGTTGCATTCAGAGACTTTATGGTTACTGACTCACTGTTGCATTAAAATGGAGCAGTCTGGATGTGAACTAGGGTATTATGATGTCTCTCAACTGTTAGATTTAAATACCAGTCTAAGGTAACAAAGCACTATAAACTAGTGATGGAATGCAGCGGCATAAAGCACAATAAATTCTTATTGCTCATGGCTACAATGAGACAAAATATTATTCCAGAATAAGGGCAAAAGAAAGTAAAACTATCATGGAAAAAATATGAGCAGGTTAATTTTTCCAGCATGCTGAATGGCACCTGAATGACCCAAGAGTTACTGAACTTGAAAATAAACAATTGCTGCACATTCTGTTAGTGACTGGGCTATGATTAATATTTATGACAATTTCTCATAGTGATGTGTCTAAAATAAAAGTTTACAATGCTCACATTTAATTTGAAATAAATTTACCATTTATAAGCCAAAAAAAACGCAGTTTGAAACTTCTATGAATTCTGATTAACATGATGCAGAAAAAACTCAACACCAAGTTTGTTTAAGTTATGGGAGACGGAGAAGGGCTACTTGTCATTATATGTGCCTTATTTTTAGGATCAGATCAGAAATAGAGAAATTATAAGCTTATGCTCATATACGATGAACATTCTTAATTTTAGATGATAATGAAAACTGAAGTTAATCTTTCTGTTTGTAATCCGAGAGATGCCAATCCTTGTGGCCACCAGTATGACTAGTACCTTTTTGCCTCTTGCTCCTTGCTGGGTGATGGGGAAGAGAAAAGAGAAACTTTTAGCTTTGAGCCAAGGGAATAATTTTAGTTACCATTACTAACATTTGGCACCACAAAGAGTCAGCATGAAGATTTCCTCCATTTTGTAGACTGGTTTTTGTTTCCAGGACTTTGAAGGCAGATAATTATTCTCTTCCACCTTGAGGGTCCTGTGGCATCTCCATGATTCTTGTGAAGGTATCAGGACATGGATGCTCTTGTAAACCTCTCTCTGCTACCAGTGAGCACTAGCCATGTGGACAATAACTTGGTGAAAGTTCCCATTGACAGATGCCAGGGAAGCTGTACTTGGTAAAGTTATTTAAACACTTGCTTAAGGAGTCCATCTGGGTTGGTTTCAGGCCCTGGATATAGGAAGCTAGCCTAAATCTAGAATTATCTAGCTTTCTCTCCTTGAGAGCTGATTATAGCTCTAGCTTAGTTGTGAGAAGGTCATGGGGGCATTCTGGGGGTAGGGGTGGCAAGGGGAGAGGAGATAGAGGAGGTATTTTTACTGCTTTGCTCTTTACTTACAGTGAGTCAATCTGATTGAGAGGATCTGGACTGTGGCATTAACCCAGGAGGATTCAGAAAGAAGCCATGTTGGAATCTAGACAAACTTGAGTCCAGACTAAGGTCTGCACTCACCTCACATGGAAAGTCAGCCAAGTTTCCACTGGTGAGTCTGGATTCTGTAGGCAATTTAGTGATTTCCTGTTGGCCACCCCCTACTGCTCTCTCCCCCCACCTGCAAGCAGTCACCCATCCATAAATCCTGTCCAGCCCTGGATTTCTGCCCAATGTTCCAGAGATCTGGACTCACCAAGGAGAGCGGAATTCCCAGGATCCAGGACCAGCTGTGCTCCCAGAGGAGATGTCAGCACTGAAGGAAGGTTCGGTCCAATGGCTGAAAGCAACGCCCTGATGTCTTCCAACTGCGTGGGGACTTGGGGGGGATCTACGGGAAGGCAGATGGGGAGTCAGACAGATTAAAGCATGAAGGCTGCATTAAGTGGGGAAGGAGAGGTGGGCATGTGTGTAAGGCAGGCATTGTTATGGTTGCCATTCAGCATCGTTTTTTTCCCACAGAGAAGGTGTGCCTATTAAGATGAGTCTGAATTTCAAGCTTAATATTTGATGCCCAAACCAATAAGATCAGTAATAAGAATCAGGCGTGTTGATTTTAGGAGTTCTTTACTGTATACCACTTTATACCACAGGACCACTGGGTCCCTATAAATGTGTAGGCAAATTAAACCATATTATAAAAATACTTTTAAAAGCCAACACTTCTTCAGCATTTATTATATGCCAAATCTTGTGTTAAATAGTTTTCATTTCTTTTTCCATTTAACTCTTACGGCATCCTCTAGAGCACTTTATTATCCCCACAGATATGGATACATCACGACAGGAATTTTTTATTTTAGAGAGAGAGAGAGCATGTACACATGTGAGGGTGGAGGGAGAGGCACACGGAAAAAGAGAGGGATAGAGAGAATCTAAAGCAGACTTCATGCCCTGCACAGAGCCCTACATGGGGCTCAATCTCATGACCCCGACTGAGATCATGACCTGAGCCAAAATAAAGAATCAGGGAATCAGGTACTTAATCGACTGCACCATCTGGGTGACCCAGGAATTTCTTACTTAATGAGTGGCATTTTCTACAAAGAAAAAGGTTTATTTGTGAAGTTGATGAAGTTAATCCGCTTAGTGGTCTGGATTTTATGCTCAGGTAGGACCAGATAAGCAGGACAGGGATGACTTTTTCTTCCAAATCTTAGAAGGAGTAGTAGGGCTGAAGTCATCAAGGGTCTGGTTAATCAGAGCCCAAAGTGACAAAAATGGGAATTATAGTGGCTTATCATTTTCACTGGACAAATAAAGAGGGAACCTGGTAGTGAGAGGATTCCAGATTCTCTGGGAAAAGGAGAATCCTGTTGCCTGGGCTTCCCATGTCTCACAAGGCAGGCTCCCATCTTTTTCTCTAGAGACTTGTTGGAATCTCAGGGGAAGCAGGAGTATTTCTTTAACTGATGGTCATTTCATCAGTGTTCAGTGAAGACCTCTTATGTGTCTGTCACCCTGTCAGATACTTGCAGATACTTGTTAAGGGTGGCAAATAAGTCATGATGACTTCCGAGTCTGCTTCAGAAATATACCTTCTGTTGGGATGCCTGGGTGGCTCAGTGGTTGAATGTCTCCCTTCCGTTTAGGTTGTGATCTTGGGGTTCTGGAATCGAGTCCCACAGCTGGCTCCCTATGGGGAGCCTGTGTCTTCCTCTGCCTGTGTCTCTGCGTCTCTGTGTGTCTCTCATGAATAAATAAATAAATCTTAAAAAAATATACCTTCCGTCTACTCTGCCTTGACTGCAAAAGACCACTGCATACAGAAAACAATGATGAGCTTAAGATTTTAATACATATACGTTTAAAAATTATAGAGACATTATATATGTTATATATAATTTAAAAATATTCTTTATATGGTATAGGGTGAAAACATCATGTCTGGGCCCAGGGACCCTCTGTTTGAGCTGTGGCTCTGTCATTCATTAGCTTGGGCAAGTCACTTAATTCCTCGGAGCCTGTTTCCTTGTCTATAAGAGGATGAGGAAATTCATCATTTCCCAGATCTCTTTCTACTCTGAAATACCAAGATTTTAGGAACTGATGGTAGCAGTTTACTCCAACCTAGACTCTCTTCTTCTCATCCTTTTTATGTTTTAAAAACTTAATTAATTAATTTTTAAAATTTAAATTCAAGTTAGCTAACATACAGTGCATTACTGGTTTTAGGAGAATTCTGTGATTCATTACATATACACAAGACCCAGTGCTCATCCCAGTAAGTGCCTTCCTTAATGCCCATCACTCATTTTTTTAATACTGTCTTGAGAATATTATAATTGAATGCAGAATATTCCCTCAAGAATTTTAATTGAAGGGATGCTTGAGTGGTCAGTCGGTTAAGTGTCAGCACTTGTTTCAGTTCAGGTCATGATCTTGGGGTCGTGGGATCCAGCTCCTTGTCAAGCTCCCTGCTCAGTGGGGAGTCTGCTTGAGTTTCTCTCCCTCCTTCTGCCCTTCCCACTTGTGCTCTCTCTCTCTCAAATAAATAAAAAATCTTTAAAAAAAAGAACATTAAACTCAAGAAAACCTTTGCTTATTTCCTAGAAGCCAAAAAGGGAGGCTATGTCCCATTTTCAAAACCATCAAATCTTCTTGGGCCAAATGTCAGCCTCTCCTAATGCCCTTAGAGCATTAATCATATTGTTTTTCTTTGGTGTATGCCCATTTGATCTTCCAGGGGAAACTGTAAATTCCCCAAGGTCAGAGGTCACCTCTTAAATTTATCCTAATGCTTGAGATGAAACGTAGAGGCAATATGTAATGAATATTCATTCAATGGCTACAGGAATAAAGGAATGAAAGTCTCATTACATTTCAAGTCTCCACGCCACGGGTTAAGTTGGAGAGCTTGGTGTGAAACCTGTTTTATACATGAAGTCCGTGTTTAAAAATTAAGCAACATTTTTGGCTGATTAAAATACAAGAAAAGATTATTTCTGTGTTCACAAGGCATCTAGAAAACTAAAAATACTTGGCTTAATAAACCACGGCTTCTGATGAAGAAAAGCCCTAAACTTAAGAGTCAAACCACAGATTTTTTTTTTTTGCATCACATTTGATGAAAAGGGGAAGGCGTCATGCTCGTCTAGCTCTGTGTTCACAGTCACGCTGTTTTACAGTTGCAGCCCTGCAAGAGCTGGCGGCAGATCGTGCGCACTTCACTGACAGAGCTACAGTAGCAACTGCACATCCTGGGCTTTCATCTCTGTCAGTGCAGGCACCAAGCAAGGCTTATTATGGAGGAAAAGCCTACAGTAAGCACCATAGCTCAGTGTGGAGCAACAGCGTCTGGGCCCCGGGATCCGGGCTTCAGACTCGCACACAGCTCAGCCAGATGCAACCCAACACAGAACAAATGACGCCCTTCACTGAGTTGCTTTTCTGTGGCTTTCTAAGATGACTGGAGGTTTATGCAGCCACTGGTGAGATGAAAACCCACCTGGGCCTCTCTGAAACCTGAGTGGGCAGGGGCTAGGAACCCTAGGCTTTGGTCTATCATCAATTGGGGGTATAGAAATACAAGTCCAAAGTTTAATTATTTTTCCCCAAGGAGGTCTGTAATGTATGTATGTGTATGTATGTATGGCGTGTGATTCTTCATATTGCTCAGTTTCCTCTTTTTTTTTTTCCTCTTAGAATGATAGCTTTCTCTTAGTGAGAAAACTAACATGAGGGATCTAATTGTTGCTTAAACAAAAAAAAAAAGGTAATAAGACAAAAACAAGATTTTTTTTTACTACATCCCACAAAGTTCCAGACTCTGTGGGGGAAGATAAGCCCAGGGTCCCTATTCCAGGGGATAAAAGGATTACTGTCCCTACACGGCTGAGTCCAGCACTGGGCAACACTGAATACTGGATGGTGTCCCAGTGGCTGTTATTTCTAAAATATATGTTATGCCAAGAATTGCGTTGGACTCTTTAGTCAAGGGTTCTTATATTTGAGGGTACTATATTTTGAATGTTTGTGTCCCTTCAAATTCATATGTGAAGTCCTAACCCCCCAAGGTGATGGGGCCTTTGGGAGGTGAAGCAGAGTCTTCACGATTGCAATCAGTGCCCAATAAATGAGACCCCAGGGAGCTGGCTTGTTCCTTCTGCCAAGGGAAGACAGCAAGAAGCCAGCAGTCTGCACCCAGAATAGGGGCTTTACCAGAACTGGCCATGTTGGCATCCTGATCCTGGACTTCTAGCCCTGAGAGTTGCGAGAAATAAAATTCTCTTGTTATAAGCTACCCAGTTTGTGGTATTTGTTTTAGCAGCCTGAATGGACTAAGTCAGGGGAGTGCCTGTGTGGATTTTTATTTTTATTATTTTTTTGAATTTAATTTTAAATTCAATTGCCTGTGTAGACTTTAGGTGGGCTGGACTATGAACTTTATGAAATTATACGGAAAATTTTGTATGTATGAGTTTTTCTTTTTCTTTTTCTTTTTTTTTTTTTTTGTTTTGACATAGGTCTTGTCATGAGTTTTTTAATTTGACACCAAAAGCAAAGGCAATAAAAGCAAAAATCAAGTGGGACTACAAGAAACTAAAAAGTTTCTGCACAGCAAATGAAATCATCAACAAAATGAAAAAACAGACCACTGAATGGGAGAAATATTTGCGAAATATATATCTGATAAGTGGTTAATATCCATAATATGTAAAGAACTCATATAACTGAGTCACAACAACAACAAAATCCCAAACAACCCCATGAAAAAAATGAGCAGAAGATATGAGTGGACATTTTTCCAAAGAAGACATACAGTTGGTCAACTGGTATATGCCAAGGTGCTTAACATCAGAAAATGCCAAACAAAACCACAATGATATATCACTTTACACCTACCTATTAGAATGGCTATTATTTTTTTTTTTTTTATAAATTAATTTTTATTGGTGTTCAATTTACCAACATACAGAATAACACCCAGTGCTCATCCCGTCAAGTGTCCCCCTCCGTGCCCGTCACCCATTCACCCCCACCCCCCGCCCTGTATGAGTTTTTCTGGAGGGGGATGATCTATAACTTTCATCTGATTTTCAAAGAAGTCCCTAACACAGAAGGAGTTAAAAATAACTTCTTTAGCTCTAACAACTGCCTCCTCTTAGATAGGGGATCATTGTTATGCGTCCACATCAAGACCAGCTTCTAGGGCTTAGTAAAGCTAAGTGAGTCGCCCAAGGTCATGTGGTGAATAAACATTAGAGCCGGTGTTCAAAATGACATCTGCCCGGCCCCCAAGTTTGTGTTTTTCCTACTGGAAGGTCCTCATGTGGGAAGAAGGGAAGGGATATTGCTTTTATGTACTTAACTGGATCAGGGGAAAAGGGAAGTGGAGTGTGAGTTGGGCAGTGGCCCTCGAGCTTTTTACCTAGGAGCAGCAGCTGCGTGTTCTCGGTCAGCTCTCCATGCAGATTGGCTGCCCTGCAGGAGTACAGGCCCTGATCAGAGGGGGACACGTCTGTGAGCAGCAAGGAGCCTTCGTGCACATGGTGAGGGGAGCCCAGTTTGCTTTTATTCCTGAACCAAGTGACTTCAGCTTCAGGCACACCTAGGAAGGAAAAAAAAAAAAAAAAAAAAAAAAAATATATATATATATATATATATATATATATATATATATAAACTCATCAGCTAAACACATTCAGGTGACTCTGGAGGAGTTAGAGCCACTCGGTGGACTGTCCCAGGGGCTGCTCTCCAGGAAGCATCCACCTGGGCATCTCCACCATCCTCTGGCCACACTAAATAATGCCTGTGACGTCTCTGTTGTCTGGAGGTCTTTTGCCTTTTAAAACTCACACGGATGAGGTAGGAAGAGAGGCCAATTCACAGCACAGGAAGGGGGCAACTGGTAAAGGGCACTTGCCAAGGTGGAAGGAAAGTACCCAAGTTCTTTGGAGAAAGCTTGGATAAGCCCAAGAACCATATGTATCCACTGGTGAAAGTAAAGGCCTGACAACCACATGAAATAAGCACTAAGAAAAGCTAGACACAAAAGACTACATTCTGTATGATCTCACTTCTGTAAGTGAAAAACAAAAACTGATAAGATAACATCAATCTGTGCTGTTAGCAGCCAGGATGGTGACTCCTGTGAGAGGGAAGGACAAACAGGGAGGAGTTGTCAGTAGGTGGGCATGAGGCGCTTGGTCGCTGGTAATTCTCTGGTTCTTGACCCGAGGGCTGGTTTGGGCGGCTTGGCACCTTTATGATATGTATCCCTTTCTATACAGATATTACACTTTAGTAAAAAGTCAAAAGCTACAAAGTATTAGTATCTTGTCTAGTATGAACTAGACAAATGAAAGCTGCTGGAACCATACCAGAATTGACATGATACATAGAAAACATGCCTGTATTTTTTGGAGCCTTTGTGCTTTCTTAGAACGAGAGAACAGAGAGCTGTGGTCAGTAGCACCACAGAGAAAGAGACAAAAGAAAGAGACAGAAAGTAGTCGGCTCTTTGCTCAGTCCATCTTTGTTGTCTGTGGGAGAGGGCTGGGGGGGTGCGCATGAGTTAGGACTGAGTACCTGTCGTTGGAAGCTGGGCTCTGTCCTCTAGGGGTGTCACTGATTGAATGTGTTCCTCCCCAAATTCCTGTGTTGAAGTGCTAACCACCTCTAATGGTACAGTATTTGGAGGTAATTAGGTTTAGGTAAGGTCATGAGGGCGGGGTTGTCATGATGGGATCAGTGCCCTCATAAGAAGAGACCAGAAAGCTAGTGCGCCCTCTCCTCTCCCCTCTCCCCTCTCTCCTCCCCCTCTCCTCTCTCTCTCTCTCTCTCTCTGTCTCTCTCTCTCTCTCAGTCAGTACACAGGAAGATGGCTGGCTGCAGTCCAGGAAAAGAGCTCTCAGCAGGACCTGCGTTGAGCTTGGACTTCTCAGCCTCCAGTAAGGTGAGAAATACATTTCAGACATTTAAGCCACCTAGTCCATGGATAATTTGTAATAGCAGCCTGAGTAGGCTAAGACAAGGGGACAGCCTTAATTCTTTAGGTTTCCCTGTGGTTGCCATGCTGGTAAACAAGCCCTGGTTCAGGACAAGCCTTCTAAGAGAGTCTGCATAGGGGGCTCTGTAGCAGGCTGAGCTCTGAGTGAGTTAGGAGACAGAAAATCTGTGGCATCAATTCACAGGTCTCTGGGGAGCAGAAATCTCCATTCCTCATGCTGGTCTAGCTGGTGGTCTAGCTCAAAAGCCTGCTGGTCTAGCTCAAAAAGTTTACTCAGAGCTCTTGGGTGTGTATCCAGGGTATGTTTATAATATCAAATCCTGGCAAATGGGGGTCAAGGCTGGAAGAGTCAAAGGGCTTGGCCTTTGGTCCTGCGCTTTTCTGAACTGGGACTAGATTCTCCCCTTGGGGCAAGGGCAGTGTTGCCTTTAATGGGCGGCCTGCTGGTGAGGATAGAGCCTGCTGGTGAGGATAGAGGATACTGGTCTCCTACTGGAGACATCTTCAAGGGATTACCTGTGTATCTGTTCCTTTTCTTTGAATCTGATGAACTGAATTTACCAGCAGTCTACTCTGTAACACCCAGCTCAGTAGCAGCCCCAATTATGCCCCCCTGGGTACTTGCTCCTCCTGATCTCCCAGTAGGAGAAAGTGGGGTGGAGGTGGGAAGGTGGTTTCACACTCCTTCACTAAAGACAAACTGCATTCTGGGAATTCACTGGTTTCCTGGCTGCTCTGCTGCCTCGGGCAGGCCTAGAACACTGGTGCAACGGGATGGTGAAAGTGCTTGGCCAATCTGTAGGGCCTTCCTCCCTATTATAAAGAATAGAGGAGTGACTCTCCAGTTTTCTCTTTTATTCCAATTACCAATAATTTAATGAGAATCACTAAGGATCACTAAACTGGCTAGAAGGAGGAGGCAGGGCTACTGAACGGGGTGAAGACTTGGATACTGCGTGTTTGTCACATGGGGGAGAGGCATGTCTCTGGACACCTGTTGCTCAAATGCAGGAGGAGGCCCAGGTTGGCACAGCCTCTGAATATACCTGGACAAAAGATGCAGGTAAGAGGCAGAGAGCTGATTTTTCATTGCAGCACCACTAGGGAGAGCAAGAGCATCACATGCCTGGCCATGCCAGCTTGGACTTAGGAACATGAGCTTAATTTTTATGTAAAAAAAGAAATCCACAGCATTCAAGAGACAGTCTCTGAAAGGTCAACTGAAGAAAACACTCCCTGCCATTTCTCTCCTGAAAGCACAAGGAAAAGCGAGGTCCTACAAATTATTTTCCACAAGTATTTCCCTTGCTATGAGTCACTCATGTGCAGCATGTATGTTGGCTCAATCTTTGGAAGAGTGCTGTGGGCAGTGAGCACACAGTCCCCAGTGGGACTGAGGGCTGTTCTAGAGCAAGAGAGGTAGAGTAAGGGAGTTGGACTAAATGGGTCTTCGGTTCCACTAAGCAAACAGGGGATCTAATCTAACACTGTCCACCACTGTGCTGAGGGGGTGGTGTGTGCATCTCCAGCACCAACACCTGTGAGGATCTCGCAACATGGACATTTCTGCAAGATTTCCTGCTGCTCCCAGCGTGTCCTTCTCTGGAAGGGCCCATGGTCCTGCATGATAGCCAGAGGCAGAGACATGTAGGAGAAGAGAGGAAATGGGGGTGGGGGTGGGGGTGGGGGTGGGAAGGTGAGAAACAAGAGGTGGAGGGAGAGAACCCAGGCCCTGAGAGAGACTTGGAGCCATTTCCCAGGAACTGGGTCCCAGCCTCTTCTGTTCTCTTAATCACTCTGCCTCATGTCCCCCATGAAATAGGAGTGTTTGCCACGGTAAGACAGGGTGCTTACAAAAGGACTGAATTTTCCAGGAGCGGGGTGGGGGGCTCATGGGAGAAATGCAAATGTTCAGGAGAGCAGAGGGTAGAAGGACGTTGCCTCCAGTCTCTGTACAGCTAAAATCAGAGAAATGATGGCAGTGCCAAAGGCAGAGAAATTATGTAGGACTCATTCTTTAATATATTTATTAGCAAATATTTGTCAGGCTCACTCAAGCAGGGACCTGCATCAAGAATTCGCTGATGGAGGAGTTGTGTCTGGTGTCACATCTTGGGGGCTTCCTGCTTGGGACTGTGGGCAGAGGATAACACCAACAAGGTGCTTCAGAATAGTTTTAGTCCCTTTCCTGACAGACTCTGACATCTTATAAACATAGAGAAAAGATAGAGGAAAAAGCAGCGAGGCCTCAGAGAGCTCTTTTTTCTTTTTCTCTCAAGAGATGATAATGAGCATTTAGAAAACATCACCAGCCACTATTTAAGACAGAGTCCCTTGAAAAGGTAGCAGATACCCATGCCCAATGTTGACGTTCAGAGTACCTGAACCCAGGGAGCACACACAAGTCAGGAGCTGTGCAAAATATCCTGAGCATGTCAGGAGAGGAGAAAGAACATTGTGCTATAAGCCAAACATTTTATAAAGATAATTACATTTTTCAAAGAGATTAAAAAATCTGTCTAAAGTGATGTTAGTTTGGATCCTGGACTGGTGAAGGGGACAGAGCCTCTGTCTCTCCCTATTCCTCACTTCATGGCCAAATCAGTGACCTACAAATGGCAGGGTGGAGATCCAAACTCATATATTCGATGCCACGGATCCCCATCCTAACCTGTGCCCCACACTGCCTGCCATTGTATCCAACTGCCTCTTCAGAAAAGGTCAGAAAATGCTATACTGTTGTTTCTGAACTGTCAGAGTCTTACTTTCTACTTTGAGAATTAACCTTTCTGCTATAGCTGTAACACCATGATTATTGTTAGGAGGGGTTTCTAGAACCCATATGTGCTGGCTTTGTTAGTTCTTTTCTTGTTGAGAAGCTGGTCAGGGTGTGGGTGGGTTTTTTTTTTTTTTAGGCTGTTGTGATGTGACCACACATTTTACTGAAAGAAATGTCAGAAAATATACTCTACCAAAGTACAAAACTGTGCTGTTGACAAGTTACTTGGATAGGCTCCACACTCTGGACTCCCTGGTATGATTTGTGTCTAAAACAGGAGGAAAAAACTCTGTTTTTACTTTTCCCCCTTGGTGGCATATCTTATCAACAACACAATGCTCTCTATATTGCTTGAAAGGATCAATAAATGAGTCGGGTCATAATGGGTTGTAACTTGATAGGACTGTAGGGATTAGTGCCTTTAATCTCCATGGAGCGACCAGGTAGGGTGATGCTATAATATTCTTTTTTAAAATCCCAGACAGGATACTCTTGCTAACCAGCCTGCTTGTTATATTTGGAAGGCTGCTTGCATCCTGGAAGCCTGGCAGCATTTCAAGGTGCAGTATCTTGTGCACCTTGACATGATGCTCTTTAGAAGTGTCTTCGATGGCTTGGTGTGAGAAAAGACTATAGTAACTTAAATGTAGCTTTGGCAATTATTCTAAAGAACCATGGAAGTCTGGAAAGGATGTTTTCAGCCTTCCACATTTCTCCATACCGAATGGGGCAGATACTGATAGCTGTTCACCTCCAAACCTGTTTCCTTCTTTTTCCTGGGTGCCCATCTAGGCTACATTGCTCAGTATCCCTTATAGTGGGGAGTGGCCATGTGATCAAGAGGTACAGTGAGAAGTGGTAATGTGTGTTGCTTCCAGGTGTGGCCCTTAAAAACCTTCCCAACCATCCTCCAAGCTTTATCTTTCCCCTCTTCTGGTTGACAAGTTAGAGATAACCCTTGAGGAGAACTTGGAGGGCACGAGTTTTAAATAATAGATCCACAAGCATTCCATGACCCTGACTGTGGGGGGCAGCCAGCTCTTTGGACTCTCAGGTAAACAATAATAAACTTCTATTGTGTTTGATCCATGACATATTTGGGGGTCTACTTATTACCATAGTCTAGCCTATGCCAATGAATATACTGCCTATCACTGATCAACTATTTCTATATCACCAGTCCTGATAATTTTATCTCCTAAGTCCTTCCAAAGCTTCCTTTGCTCTTAGAACAAAATGTCAAATTGTACCATAATCTATAAGAGTATGTAAGATCTAGCCCTTGTCTGCTCTCCTCCACACTCCAGCCACATGCCATGCTACTTTCTTCTCTGCTATCTATACTACTGCCACCCCAGCCGTTTTACTCCTTTAGAGGCAGCCTGCTCTTGCTACCTCAGGCCCTTTGTACATACTGGTCCCAATGACTGAAATACTCCCTCCTCCCCTAACCCTTTATCTCCTAGTAGGCCTTTTGAACTCTTCTCAAATAGAGAAAAAGTATGGGAGTGACTGGATTGGATCACCTTTCAAAAAGAATGCTCATCATACTCATGGCTTAATATTTGTTATGTTTAAGGGTTGGGAAGAATTTGTGAGGCTGCATCTTACAAGTTGAAAGAACCTATGTACAAAGAGTTATTTAATGAGAAATAGCTAGCAACTCAAATGTATAAGTACATGAGTTAATCTACATAAATTATGTAATATTCTTAATATAGACTATAAAATAGCCATTAAAATACACCAAAAGAGAGCAATGAGCCAGTTGTATTTGTAAAAGTAATTCCTACTGCCATTGAGCGTTACAACACTCAGTATTTTGACTGGAGATGTAGCTCAAGGATGATTTCTTTGTTCAGCAAATTCATGATCTACTGTGTAATCAAAAGCAGACTCTTGTCCACCACTTTGAATAAATGTCTTATTTAACAAAAGGCATAATGACAGAGACACCCAGATGTATTTCAGTTAGCCATGATTAACACCAATGATTCTATGAAAAAAAAATAAAAATAAAAACTGTACTGTGCATGGCCAGGCCAAAAACTGGGCACAACCTGAGATCTCATGAAGCAATCACCAAGAGCAAGTCTCTGGATGAAGTCAAGAAGACAGGGCACCAAATGGCATGAAAGAACTTGGCCAAAGCGAGTTTTAGTGTCCTTGGTTCCCCATGGTAGACACTTTCTCACCTGGATTCTGGTTCTCTCAATCTCCTAATTTAAGTGCCTACTTCCTTGCTCTGCCTCTTGCTCCTCATTCTTTTACTCCTACCAATCTCAGCACTCAGGAAGAGATCTGGCATGGTCTGTTATACCTCCACGCAGTGTCTGGTCTCTGAACACGCGTGTGTTCACAGTGATTGGGTGGGGAAGGATGGTTCTGCACAAGACGCCTTACCTGTACCAGCAGTCCTTGCACAAAGGGCAGCTCCTTCGAGGGAAGCCCTGTCTGAGGGTTTGTCTGACTCATTATCTGCCAGGGCAGGGCCTGAAGGGATCTGGTGTGGCAGGCTTCACTGATGAGGGTGGATACGCAGGCCAAGGGAAGCTTTACAGAAAGAAGCTAATGTATGATGACAGAGAGAGATTTATGGTTCTGATTTCCTGGAGCTACCAGGATATTTTGGAGAAAACCAGACTGGCAATTCTTTGGAAACAGCGTGCTTTAGATTAAGATCTTCCTCCTATTTATTCTAAACTGAGTTATGTGACCTATAAATCACAAGCAGAGATTTAAGATAAAAGAAAGTCCCAAAGCAGGGGTGCCACTGTCTGTCCACTGGGTATAATCAGGGAACCCAGCTGTGGGTGTGCCACAGGAGGGTATAGCTGATAAGGACAGCAATCAAGGGATTGTAGATGGGCCCTGGCACAATAGCCATTCATTTCTTTGCACTGTGAAAGTGAAGACCCTTAGGGTAGATGGCACCCATTAGTGGTCCATAGGGAGGGAGATTTAGCCACCGGGCTTTGTTTGGCTCTGTGTTGATGACTTTTTGCTTTTTAACTGAAGGTAAATACCTTCTTATTTTTATTTATTTATTTTTAAGATTTTATTTATTTATTCATGAGACACACACACACACACACACACACACAGAGAGAGAGAGAGAGAGAGAGAGAGAGAGAGAGAGGCAGAGACACAGGCAGAGGAGAAGCAGGTTCCTTGCAGGGAGCCTGATGTGGGACTCAATCCCAGGACTCCAGGATCATGCCCTGGGCCAAAGGCAGGCCCTAAACTGCTGAGCCACCCAGGGATCCCTGGTAAATACCCTTTTAAAAAGCATACTACCACCCCCTTTTGTCTACTCCTCCCCCACTTCCCTTTCTGTTCCCTATAGGCCTCTGAGTTTGCAAGGCCAACTGGGAAGCAATTCCTATATCACAACTCCTAATAGCACTGGTTGTTTTCGTTAATGACTCCTACCCATTTCTGATGAGAAGAAGCTCCAGATTCCTGTTGGTCCTGTCTCTGTCATCTCTCTGATGTTACTCTACCTGTTACCTTTCCATTACCACTGCCCTGAGTTTGGTCCTTCATGATCTCTTCTCTAAACTATGACAGCTTTTTTTTTTTTTTTTAAAGATTTTAGTTTTAAGTAATCTCTACACCCAACATGGGGCTTGAGCTCATAACCCTAAGCTCAAGAACATAAAATGTTCTACCATCTGAACCAGGAAGGTGTCCCAACTACTATTACAACTTCTTAACTGGTCTCTCTGTCCCAGTATTTCCTATCTTCAATCCATTTTACATATTGCTATTGGCTCGCTCTTCTGGAAGGATGGCTCTTCAGTGTCACTCTCTTTCTGCCTTTTTCTGAACTCCTTGGCCAAGCGTTTAAGGTCTTTCATGCCACAGTTGCAACACACCTTACTAAAGTTTAAGCCCCTCCACACCATTTCTATACTCTGGGCTCCTGCCAGACCAAAGCACATACTATTCGCTTACAGTCTTGAGGTTTTCCTACTTCCATGAATTTTTCACATTCTTTTGTCTATTTGGAACACGCTTTGCTTCCACCTTTGCACCTGTAGTATGCAAGGCTGAAATAAGAAACCACCTCTGTCCCAGCCAGAATTCATCTTTCCTCTAAACTTCTGTAGCACTGTCCATTTTCAGGGTGACTGAAATTCTTGGGTTAGCTTTCCTACTACCCCTGAGTCCTGGAGAATAGAATCTATATTTATCTTTGTATCCCCCAGCTTGATACAAGGCTCCATTAATATTTGAACAGATGAATTAACACATGAATACATTTCTCACCTGCAACTTGGCAGTTAATTGTCACATTCACTCCTTGCACTGTTTTGATGGTGCTTCCCACATCAACTGTGATTGCAGGCTCCTCGGTGTTGATCACAGTCGCTCGTGATGTCTTCACTAGTGGTTTTCCTGAAGGTGAGAAGGAATGTGAGATTTTACTAGATGGTGGCTGTGGGCAAGGTGTTCCCTTGAACCATGGGATGACCCACAATGAACAACTGGTATACCCAGGCTTTTCCTACTAACCATGTTTTCCTTTGAAAAAATTGTTAACCGCATGATATAGAAATCATCCACCCACCCACTCATCCACCATAGAATTGTCAGGAAAAGAACACATATTGAAGAATCTGAGGATGAGCATACCTAACAAGCTAGGATGATTTGTGCATTTTATCATTACATTTACAAATGACATTATATCTCCTATTTTTAAGGGCTTATTTTTTTAAAAGATTTTATTTATTTATTTTTATTTTTTTAAAAAAGATTTTATTCATCCATTCATGAAAGACACACACACACACACACACACACACATACACACAGAGGCAGAGACACAGGCAGAGGGAGAAACAGGCTTGACGCAAGGAGCCCGACATGGGACTCTATCCCAGGTCTCCAGGATTATGCCACAGGCTGAAGGCAGGCACCAAACTGCTGAGCCACCCGGGCTGCCCTAAAAGATTTTATTTTTAAATAATCTCTATACCCACCATGGAATTCAAACTCACAACTCTGAGGTCAAGAAGCACATGCTCCACTGACTGAGCCAGCCATGCACCCCAGCTTATTATTATTATTTTTAAAGATTTTATTTAGTTATTTATTTGAGAGAGAGAGAGAGAGAGAAGCAGGAAGAGACACAGGCAGATGGAGAAGCAGGCTCCATGCAGGGAGCCTGATGCGGAACTTGATCCTGGGTCTCCAGGATCATGCCCTGGGCTGAAGGCGGTGCTAAACTGCTGAGCCACCCTGGCTACCCCGGGCTTATTTTTTTAATTAATTTTTTTACTTTGAGATAATTATAGCTTCACATGTATTTTTAAGAAATAACACAGAGCAATCCCGTGTGCTCTCTATCTAGATCCCCCTAATGGTAACATCTTAAAAACTATGGTATCATTATTAGGACACTGACACTGATAAAGTTAAACTACAGAGTATTTCCACCACTACAGGAGCCCAAATGCTGTCCCCAACCCTGCCTTAATCCTCTGACAACCATTAATCTCTTCTTGATTTCTATAATTTTGTCATTTTAAGAACATTATAAAAATGGAATCATATAATACTGTAATATTTTTAAAATATTTTTTTCCAATCAATAGTTCTCTGGAGATTCCTTGGGGTCACTCATGCTACCATGGTTGTGTCTATCAATAGTTTGTTTCTTTTTATTGCTGAATAGTATTCCATGGTACAGATTTATCATAGTTTCTTTAGCTATTCATTGATTGAAGGATATCTGGGTTGTTTCCAGATTGTACATATTCAAATAAAACTGCTACAAACATTTTTGTACAAGTCTTTGTGTGAACATAAGTCTTCATTCTTCTGGGATAATTGCCCAGGAGTGCCACTGCTAGGTCATATTGTAGTTGCATGTTTAATTTTTTAAGAAACTGAACTGTTCCAGAGTGGCTGTATCACTTCACATTCTTATCAGTAATATACGAACAATCCAGTTTCTCTTCATCCTTGCCAGCATTTGGTGTTGTCATTAGTTTTAATTTTAGCCATGCTGATAGGTGTATAGCGATACCTCACTGTGGTTTGAGTTCTCATTTCCCTAATGGCTACTGATGTTGGATAGTTTTTCATGTGCTTATTTGCCATCTTTATATCCTCTTGGTTGAAATGTCTCTTCATGTCCTTTGAGGATTTTCTAATTGGATTATTATTTTTTGTTGGGTTTTGAGAATTCTTTATATTCTAGATATTAGTCCTTTGTCAGATATATGGTTTGCAAAAATTTTCTCCCACTTCTGTAGCTTTTCATCATCTTAAACAGGATCTTTCACAGAACAATGGTATTCTTAACTCTGATAAAGTCTTACTTATTAAGTTTTCCTTTCATGGATCTTGCTTTTGATAATAAGTCTAAAAACTATCTAGACCTAGATCATGAAGATTTTCCTATTCCTTTTTGGTAAAAGTTTTATAGTTTTACATTTTACATTGAAGTCTTTGATGCATTTTGAGTTAATTTTTGTATAGGTGTGAGACTTCAATCAAACTCCATTTTTTGGCCTATGGGTGTACAGTTACTCCACCAAGCTATCTTTCTTCCATCATATTGTTTTGTACCTTTGTCAAAATAGGTTGGGCATATTTTTATGGATCTGTTTCTAGTTCTCTCTTCTGTTCTACTGTTTTGTGCATTTATCCATCTACCAATACCATATAGTCTTCATTATTTTATTTTATTTTATTTTTTTTATAAATTAATTTTTATTGGTGTTCAATTTACCAACATACAGAATAACACCCAGTGCTCATCCCGTCAAGTGTCCCCCTCCGTGCCCGTCACCCATTCACCCCCACCCCCCGCCCTCCTCCCCTTCCACCACCCCTAGTTCATTTCCCAGAGTTAGAAGTCTTTATGTTCTGTGTCCCTTTCTGATATCTCCCACACATTTATTCTCCCTTCCCTTATATTCCCCTTCACTATTATTCATATTCCCCAAATGAGTGAGAACATACACTGTTTGTCCTTCTCCGATTGACTTACTTCACTCAGCATAATACCCTCCAGTTCCATCCACGTTGAAGCAAATGGTGGGTATTTGTTGTTTCTAATGGCTGAGTAATATTCCATTGTATACATAAACCACATCTTCTTTATCCATTCATCTTTCGATGGGTACCGAGGCTCCTTCCACAGTTTGGCTATTGTGGACATGGCTGCTAGAAACGTCGGGGTACAGGTGCCCCGGCGTTTCATTGCATCAGAATCTTCGGGGTAAATCCCTAACAGTGCAATTGCTGGGTCATAGGGCAGGTCTATTTTTAATTCTTTGAGGAACCTCCACACAGTTTTCCAGAGTGGCTGCCCCAGTTCACATTCCCACCAACAGTGTAAGAGGGTTCCCTTTTCTCTGCATCCTCTCCAACATTTGTTGTTTCCTGCCTTATTAATTTTCCGCATTCTCACTGGTGTGAGGTGGTATCTCATTGTGGTTTTGATTTGTATTTCCCTGATGGCAAGTGATGCAGAGCATTTTCTCATGTGCATGTTGGCCATGTCTATGTCTTCCTCTGTGAGATTTCATGCTCATGGATTGGCAGAATTAATATTGTGAAAATGTCAATGCTACCCAGGGCAATTTACACGTTCAATGCAATCCCTATCAAAATACCATGGACTTTCTTCAGAGACTTAGAACAAATTATTTTAAGATTTGTGTGGAATCAGAAAAGACCCCGAATAGCCAGGGGAATTTTAAAAAAGAAAACCATAGCTGGGGGCATCACAATGCCAGATTTCAGGTTGTACTACAAAGCTGTGGTCATCAAGACAGTGTGGTACTGGCACAAAAACAGACACATAGACCAATGGAACAGAATAGAGAATCCAGAAATGGACCCTGAACTTTATGGTCAACTAATATTCGACAAAGGAGGAAAGACGATCCACTGGAAGAAAGACAGTCTCTTCAATAAATGGTGCTGGGAAGATTGGTCATCCACATGCAGAAGAATGAAACTAGACCACTCTCTTGCACCATACACAAAGATAAACTCAAAATGGATGAAAGATTTAAATGTGAGACAAGACTCCATCAAAATCCTAGAGGAGAACACAGGCAACACCCTTTTTGAACTTGGCCACAGTAACTTCTTGCAAGATACTTCCACGAAAACAAAAGAAACAAAAGCAAAAATGAACTATTGGGACTTCATCAAGATAAGAAGCTTTTGCACAGCAAAGGATACAGTCAACAAAACTCAAAGACAACCTACAGAATGGGAGAAGATATTTGCAAATAACATATCAGATAAAGGGCTAGTTTCCAAAATCTATAAAGAACTTATTAAACTCAACACCAAAGAAACAAACAATCCAATCATGAAATGGGCAAAAGACATGAAGAGAAATCTCACATTATTTTATTTTTTAAAAAAGATTTTGTTTATGAGAGAGAGAGAGAGAGAGATAGAGAGAGAGAGAGAGAGAGAGAGAGAGAGAGAGACAGGCAGAGACAGAAGCAGGCTCCATGCAGGGAGCCTGATGTGGGACTTGATCCCTGGACTATAGGATCACACCCTGAGCCAAAGGCAGATGCTTAACTGCTGAGCCACCCAGGTGTCCCAGTCTAAATTATTTTAACTATATAATTAATCTTGCAATTGGGTAGGTTGATTCTTTCCACTTTATTCTTCTTTGCTATTCTAGTTTCTTTGCTCAACATAGGTTTTCAATAATCTTATTTACAACCATAAAATCTTGCTGGGATTTAGATAGGAATTAAACTACTATATCAATTTGGGGAGAATTAGTACTTTTTACTGTGTTGAATATTCCAATTCATGAATACTGTATGTCTATTGATTTAGCTCTCCCTTAATGTCTTTCAGCAGAGTTTTGTGATTTTTAGCATATAAGTTCTGTACACATTTTGTTAGGTTTATATCTATTTTGATTTTATTGAGGGATGGCAAATTATATTGTATTTTCAATTTCAGTGTTCATTGATAGCATATAGATATGCAGTTGATTTTTGTATAAACTGTGACCTTGTTGAACTTAGATGCTAGTTTTAGGACTTTTTGTGGGCAGATTTTTTGGTATTTTCTAAGTAAGTGATCATTTCATCTGCAAATAGTTTTATTTCTTCCATTCTGATCTGTATGCCTGTCATTTCCTTTTCTTGCATTATTTCACTGGATAGAACTTCCAGCACCAAGTAAGAGTGCTGAAACTGAATAAGAATGTGGAGTAAGAGTGGTGAAAGTGGGTTTGGGGTATGCTGAGTGATTTTCAATTGAAATCTGGACATTTTCAGAGTATGTTATGCAAATCTGGATCTTATTTAAGCCTACTGTTTTAGCTGGCTTACTCTGCAACAGCTAAGGTCGGGGAGCAGGGATGGGCCAACTTATTACCGCCCAGTGCAAGTAGAGGT